AATGAATCTCATAAATCTAATTACCAGCCTGCAGTGAAGTGCAAACACTGCCAACCCTCACTGTTCAATCATTGAAGCACATCTCTTGCCATTCAGCTCTTAAAACATCCACATGAGACCGGAGAATCACATTTGTTTTATAGTAACCTATAGAGGTTTTGCACCATCACGTGACGGCAGCCATGTTAGATGACAGGAACAATACAATCGTTTCACATGAGAAAGAATTCAATTCCCAAGAGCTAAGGGATTTTATTTTATTTTATTTTTGTTCTGCCATCCAACCACAGGCAGCCCAAGCTGTAGTATGAGCGTTGGCAGGTGATGGTGCAAAACCTCTATTCTTGAAAATATTATTTATAAAAATGGATCATAGCGCGTACCAAACACCTCTACAGTGGAGTATGATGAGGTTAAGCTGATGTAACTCGACTTGGCCACACACACATAACGACCAGCATCGGACAGACGCGCGTTGGAGATAATAACATTTTGGACTGCCTCGTAAAACTGCAAAGAATAACGTGTCAACAAAAATTATATCGAGTGGGGGTGGGGTGGGGGAATTATTGTCGTGCATCTCGTCACAAATTAGATTAATCAATCCAACTATAGATTATGATAGAAAGAGTAGTAATGATGATTTGAAGAGTGTAGAATGACGTACGGGGGTAGTGCCTACCTCAGCTCCTCAAGAGCAATATCTTCGATTCCATCAAATGATAATGACTTTTTCCAATATACCTCTTTAGCTTGAGCGTAATGCTCAATAACCACGTGTCATTCTCTTGAGAATAGGATTCTTTGTTTGAGTTGTATCCATATTCATGTGTCTTCTCATGGGCCACCGTCAAACAAAGAAATTACACTCTAGGGAATGACACGTGGTCTAAAATGCGGTAGACTGCGTCACATCCGGAATGTTCTTCGTAAATACCGTATTTACGAAGAAAATTCCGGATGTGACGCAGGCTAAAATGCGGAACAAACGAAAAAAATCCTAGTCGTATTAATAAAAAAAAAATCAATGGATTCTGGTAGTTGGGCATTAGGTGTAACACGCTAACATGCTCAAAAATAAAGGGGTTAACTAAGAGAGAACCCTGTCCTTTAATATACGAATTGAAACCATCGCTAATGAATAGGATAATGATAATGTAGTGTACCTGACCATTTTTGAGCCACTCATATTGAATGGGTAAATCAGATTGAGCCTCACACAACAAGGTGATAGACTGACAAGCATCGGCGGCGACTCGAACATAAGATACTGGATGAACAGTGATGTAAGGTGCTAGGCTATCATTGAGCTGGGGGTAGTAGCGCTCCTTATCTAAACGAAAGAAAAATCCTTTCAAAAAAAGACTACATCTCCATTGAACGAATATTCAGAAAAAAAGACTTACCAATAAGTGCCACGTAGAAGATGCTATCAGGTAGAATATTCACATTGTCAACAGGCACACCAGTACGTATCATAGGGAAGACCGCTTGCCACTTGTACAGACGGACCGAAGATGCTATGCTAAGAGTAACGGTACGTCTTTCATCTTGGCCTTGAATGACTTGTAATGTTTTAAGGCTGCTGCCGTTGACCAGGCCTCCAATGGAGATTACCATCTCTATGGTACTAAGAAACATTGACCGAAGCGGCAAACAAGCGAACAATCAAACAATCAAACCAGTATGTCAACCACTTAAAAGGGGACAAAAACCTTTTAAGTATGAATTAGGTTTGTAGATAGTTAATTTGATTTTAGAATTTCTAGCTGTAATATTTTAAATTATATATAAATGTAGTTTAGACACACAATGTTAGAAAAACCATCATGATCAATAGACCTATCCTGAATTCGCTTGACTGACCACAAAACAACGGTTTGAAGTCGAGATTGAACTTGATTCTTTTATTCATCAARTTCAACCTCGACTTCAAACCATTGTTTCGTGACCAGTCAAGTGAATTCGGATAGGTCTACTGATTTTTCTTTTACTTGATTATTCTTAATTATACCCCGTATTGTAAATACGTTCTTGCTTTCCCAAGGCCCATGGATAGGACTCGGTAATCTAAGAATTTTGTAATCAAAATTGAAGCAAGTTGTAAATAGTAATAGTAATAATAATAACAATAATAATGATGATGATGATGATGATGATGAAGATAATAAGTATATGTAATAGGACTCCATGCTGTCCAATTAAG